GCGCGCTGGCTCTGCAGCGGCGGCGCCACCAGCGGCGTCATGCTGGCCGCAAAGTGCTTCGGCGTCTCGGGCCGCGGCAGCGGCGTCATGGTGCCCGGCGTGCTCGGCACGCTGCGGTTGTGCTTCATGTGTGCCTGGATCAGATGCCCCGCGCTCAGCGCGCCCATCAGCGACAGCTCGCCCGCCATGACGGCGGCGGCAATGATGCGCGCCAGCCGCTGCGCATTAGCGCCGGGTGTCGTCGGGTGGGCGCCGGCGACGCCAATCATCTCGAGCATCGCCCGCTGCGGCGGCAGGATGGTGCCGCCGCCGACGGTGCCCACCTCAATCGAGGGCATCGACACCGTCACAAGCAGGTCCTGGCCGTCGTTGATGGCCTCCATCAGCGTCATGCAGTTGGAGCTCTCGACGTTCTGCGCCGGGTCCTGGCCCGTGGCGATGTAGATGGCCGTGAGGATGTTGGCCGCGTGGGCGTTGAAGCCGCCAATGGAGCCGGCCATGGCACTGCCGATGAGGTTCTTCTTCATGTTGAGGTTGACCAGGTCGGCCACCGACGTCTTGAGCACCGACTTGACCACCGAGCCCGGGATGACGGCCTCGGCCACGACGCTCTTGCCGCGGCCCTCGATCCAGTTGATGGCCGCCGGCTTCTTGTCGGTGCAGTAGTTGCCCGACAGCGACAGGACGCGCATCTCGGGGAAGTGGTCCTCCTGCATCATGCCGAGCGCCTTTTCGACGCCCTTGGAGATCATGTTCATGCCCATCGCGTCGCCGGTGGCCGTGGCGAAGCGCACGTACAGCGTTCGCCCGGCCAGCACGCAGCGCAGCGACGACAGCCGGGCAAAGCGCGACGTCGAGTCGAAAGCCGCCTTGATCGTCGAGGCGCCCTCCTGCGAGTCGATCCACCGCTTGGCGCGCGCCGCCGAGGTGATCGTCGGGAACTCGAGCGCCGGGCCGCGCGTCATGGCGTCCTGGGTCAGCACCGTCGTGACGCCCCCGCCGGCGTTGAGCGCCTTGCAGCCGCGCGAGGTCGAGGCGACCAGCGTGCCTTCGGTCGTCGCCATCGGGATCGGCAGCGTCTGGCCGTCGATCTTGAGCGGACCGGCGATGCCGACGGGGATCGGCATGAAGCCGACCACGTTCTCGCAGCAGGCGCCCATGACCTTGGAGTAGTCGTAGTCGCGGTGCGGCAGCAGCGAGCCCTCGAGCGTCTTGCTCGCCGAGGCGCGCGACACGAGCGCGCGGCGGATGCGCACGGCCCGCTCGTGGTCCTGGAGCACCTTTTCGAGGGCGTAGGCGGCGATCTTGCCCTTCTGGCCCAGCAGGATGAGCTCCTCATCGGACAGGAAGAAGACGCCGGCGCCGCCCGCGTAGATCTCGACGAGCTCCTCAAACGGCCGGACGACGGCCTGGCCGTCCGCGCCGACGTAGGTGGCGTCCTCGAGCCGCAGTTCCTGGTTGCGCTGGTCGGGTGCGGCCATGGCGCCGGCACCCTCGGAGCTCGTGGCGACGTCCTCGCGCTTGAGCGAGCGGACGGCGTCGACGGCGTCGGTCGAGACGGCAGCGGCGGGGACGGCGACCGGCTTGTGCAGGTGCCCGTTAGCGGGCGGCGTCTCGTCGGACAAGGCAGGCAGCTTCTCGCCCTCGTGGGCCAGTTTCGAGATCGGACCGGCGG